TCCTCCTGCGTGGCCACTGCGCCGCCTGGGGTCCCCCGATGGCTTTTCTGCAAAGCGGGGATGCATCTTTTATTCGCCGCCCGGGGAGCCGAACCCCTGGGATCCCCATGACGGTGGATCTGGATACGTAGTTGGGCCGCCTGGGGCCCAGCTGTGTCCATCTCCCATCCTCGGGCTGTCCTCCTTCGAGGGAGGTCGGGGGGCCCACGCGTCCAAGACGTCGGAGCCTCGGATGTCCGGTTCCTCGGCTGTGGCCCCCCTTCGCAGCCACCGCGGCGCGGCCGCCGCCCTCTTGGCGCCCTGGCCGGGGGGTGGCCTGCGCGGCCCCGCAAGGGGGGGGCGCCTCGGCAGGCCTGGGCCAAGCCGCGGAAAGGGGCGAGGAGGGTGGGGGCGGAGACGAGGAGGAGAAGGAGGTGAGGGATGATGATGAGGAGGGGGAGAAGGAGGGGGAGGGGGACGATGATGGGGGAAGGGGGATGAGAAGGGGGAGGAAATGCGGGAGGAAAAGGAGTAGGAGGGGGAGGATGACAAGGGGGGCGAGGATGATAATGACGATGATGACGATGACCATGGCGTTGGCGATTGCAACAACGACGGCGAGGACGACGACGATGGTGACGATAAGAATGATACGTATAATGCTATTGGTGATGATGATGATGATGATGATGATGATGATGATGATGATGGTGGTGGTGGTGGTGATGGTGATGCTGACGACGATGGTGATGACGAAGATAATGATGATGGTGGTGGTGATGATGATACGGGTGATGGTGATGAAGACGACGATAGCTACTCACGCGCCGAATTCTTTGAGGCCCAATGCTCAGGGACAGCGTTCGGAAGTATGGTTTTGTCTTCGGGGCCGCACGAACTCGAACTTTGTAGACGGCGATCATGCACTGAGGTCCAAACTTCTCAACGCCCTGAGGGGGTTAAGCATGCTAGACATTGAATCGCGAACAAGCATCGTAGAATACATAGCTTAAGATAAAGTGACTTGACGGTGGGCGAGCAGCAACCGTTCCGTGGCCGCCCAAGAGGGAACATCAGGAGGAAGATGAGGGATCCCCGGGGAACACTTGGAAGAGGGGCTCAAGGGTGCTCTGGCACTCGAAGTAGTGGAGGGCATGGTTCACCCCCCCAGCATGCCTGGCACCGGAAATTGCATGCTTGTCATTCCTGGCGAGAGTGAGGCCTCGTGGACCATGAATTGCACACTCCTTTCAAATACGCCGTTCCCACGAAGGGAGCAAGTTTGGTGGAAACCAGCCTCAATCCCATGACAACTAACTCGGCAAAGGGAAGCAAAACAGTGGGACAGAGATGCCAGACACGAGGGAGGAGGGCACACGCGGCAGTCAATTAGGTCCCACGGGCTCCCATAAGCAGATTCATTTTTTCTGTAGCATCAGGGTGTCGGAATCCAAGATCGCGCGCGGGATAGCGTTCAGCTTATTGTAGCTGTCTATCTGACACCAGCAGCCACTGGATGCATACAATTCACGACGTCGGAGAGAGGCAAGACGATCCACCTCCTCACCTTCAAGCCACGCCGACAGTCCTCGAACCGCGGAACACTTATCTGACTTTAAGGTAACTCTGAACATGCTAGCCTCAATTTCCCTCTGGAGGTCTCTCTGACCCCAGAGGAAGCCAACTGAAGTGGGCTGTCTAAAAACATCAGCCGGGATAGAGTGCATGGGAGCAGATGCTAGATGATCGCGCGCCTCGCACTGCTATTTCTACACGATAGCCGCAGGCTCGTACACTTGGCCGACAGAACAGAGGGCAGAGAAAAATAACGAATTGTAGGCGAAGGCGTTCTGGCAGAACCAGGGGAACAGTCGTTTGATGTGCCGGGCCAGATTGAGGAATTGTATCCCGGGAAGCTCCCAAGATCTCGCAGGCCCCGTCGGGCCGATGTAAACGCCTAGATATTGTCCGCAGGTGCGCGCGAGATATTTGCCGAACCCGAACTCAAGATCCACTGAACATCTCCCAGACGTCGCGCTTCGGGTGTGGAGCTGCAAAGGCGAGGCAGCACTTGCTCGCGTTCAAGACCAGGCCCGTCAGCAGAGTGGACGGAGTGAGAAGCTTGATCACCACTGGTAGCGTTCGTACTAAGTCCTGTGAGAGGATGCCGATGCCGTCGGCGAAGAAAGGCGAAGCGGCGGCCGAACGGGGTCATGGCAGCATCGAGACATCGGAAGATAGGGTCGGCGACGATCGCGCGCAGCGCACCTGACAGCAGACAGCCTTGCTTGATGCCTGTACTGATGTAGTAACCTTTGAAAAGACCGCTCTCACGACGTATGCTGATCGATTCGCGTCAACACTGCGATGATCAAAGCGCGCGGTATCCCCCGGCACGCGGCAGCAAGGCCAAGCAAGAATCGCCGCGCTCTCGCAGCGCTTTGGAAGGCGGTGCGCCCCAGGAAATCGTCCTCGGTATGTCTGCCATTTTCGAGCACGCTGCGACCTCGATACAGCCCGCATTATTTGCGCGCACCGAAGACTGAGCTTGCTGACCAAACAAAAAACGCATAGGACCGATGGGCAGATATGATTGTCGGCGTTCCTTTTTTAGAACAACGGCCGAGTCCCCGTAGCTTTCTTCGGCGCCGTGAGCTGGGGAACAAACATTAACGCCCTTCGCCAGGGAAACAGCGGCCACATGGTTGACCCCGGAGAGAGACCATGAAACGACATAAGCCTGAGGCGTGCGTTATACAGTATCCCCGTGCATCTCAAATTGCTTCTGCCCCGTCCCGAACGTGGAGTTCCGTCTGGACCAGCTGCGGAGCCTCGCCCGCGACGTAGGCAGCCTCGCATGTCGGAGAAGGGGCGGCCCACTCGATGCCAGGGGAAACTCTGTGACAGTGCTCAGGCAGCAAATCCGAATTCTGTTGGGTCGCGAGCGGTGCATCAGCTGCGGCGTGCACAATGCCCTAGTGCGCAGCAAGACGAGCGGCGCTGTCATCTGGACTGGTGGGCTCGCGCACGTCGGCGTCCAAGATGCCCGTGGGGGAGATGCGTCTGTGCCTCGGGGACCATGCCTCCGAATGTTTGCGCAGCTTGGCAGTGCGCCCGCGATCGAAGTGATACTCAGGAGACTGCAGGTGCTCACAATGGCCTGACACATACATGCGGTCCTGGGCCATGCGAAGATGTTCGTTGACACGCTGATGATCTATAGTATGCACGTGATGATCGCCCAAGAACGATGCTAGTGCGTCATTGTATCGTGCGCATTTGAGGGTGCCCGTTCTATTCCCAGCCCAAATAGCACGCATGCAGTTGGGACATGTCGTGCGGCGATGTGTGTCAGCATTTTCGGGGCGCGAGGTAACCCACCTGGGAATAACAAACCTGGGTGCGAATTCCTGCAGAACCTGATACGGACTGACGCCTGCTCAATGGCCTCGGCTGGTTTCAAGACGCATCCAACTATTCCCGCAAACAGGCTTGGCCTCTGGCATGACCGCTGCGAGCTCCCCGTCAGAAGAGTTATGCGTAGGAGTTCCCTACGCGTGGGAGGCGTTATTCACCGCGGCGGGGGAGTCCTGCGCCTGCTGGGCGGCGAGGCCGAGGTCCTTGAGGGCGTCGGCGAATGTCTCCACGACGACCTCCGTCTCTGACCACGAGGCGACTACCACCAGCTCGATCGGTTCGTCAGCCGCGGTCGTGTAGCATAGGTTCTGGTACCTGTTGCAGTCCAGGGTGGTGCTGGCCGTCCAGCAGGAGTTCTCGCGCATGTGGGCCTGGATCTGTTTCCATATCAAACCGAGAACGTATCCCTCCCTGTGGATGTCGTATGGCTCGTCAAAGCCAACCCTCAGGTCGTGGCGCGTTCCAGACGAGGTTTGTGCAAACCGAATCGGGTGATCCCGGCTGTGCTCATAGAAAGGCTTGGCGTCGTCAGCGTTCTCTCAAATTTGGTGGCGTAGGCATAGCGGCGACTCTTACACGCAAGCTCACAGTTGTACCTATACTGGCCTGGTCTTGATGATTTTAAGATGCTGTTGTGCCGCTCGGATGCCGCCTTCAGCTCCTTCTGCGGGAGACCTCGGATCCAGAGGTTGATCTCGTCCGTGGGGACAAGGACGCGATGCTGTAGTAGTTGCTGAGGAACCACCTGAGCGAGCATAGCCTGCTGCGGGCTTTGGATATGATGCCTACGGCTCCACGCGTTTAGGTCGTTCAGCAAGCTGGCGTTTGGCTTCGAGAATATGAACTCTTGTCGAGGCCGAGCATGTGGAAACCATGCCTTCAGCGTCCATCTCTGCGTCCTCGCCAGCAATCTGAAGGCTCTTCATGCGCATCCCCATCTCGTCCGACTGGTCGCTATGGGCCCTGGTGTCTTTTCTCATTCGCTCGAACGCCGCGTTGATTTGCTGGATCCCTGCAGTGAGGCGAGCGTCGAGGCTGCCAATGTTCGCCATTTTAGTGTTCATGACTGTATTCATCTCTCCACGTTGCTTGTTTTTTGGGCTCAGCGCCTCGCGCATGATGATGCGTAGCTGCGCAGCGTCCATCGCCATCAGAGCAGCTCTCTGTCAGAGAAGAAATGACAGGAATGCCACTCCAGGCCGAAGCAACGTACGGTCAAGAACTTGTGGGTGGCGTGTCGCAGCGGCGGCCCAAGCGACACCCTATGGCCTGCGAGCTGACAACATGTCGCTCCGCCCCGCGAAGCGGTAGGTGGGGAGAGCTCAGGACGACGACGCTTCGGGATCGGGAGGTGGACAGCGTGCCGCGCCGACGCGTGGTGGGCCAGAACTGGCGGAGCGACACGCCATCTAAAAACCGTGCCCTCACCAACGATCACTCACCAAGTACACGAAGCGAGGTGAGTCCTCCCCCCCCTCCAGAGAGTAAACCGCAAGGCGCGGGCACCGCTACTCCCCGGACCTCTCACGGGGTGCGGTCCGACCAGGATTTCGGGGCGAACCCCGCGGTGGCGACGAGGGCCTCCCAGGAGGCCCCACGAGGGGAAAGCGAGGGACAGGGCAACGGTATGGGTACCTTTTCCTCCGGTGATCTCCTGGACGCCCCCGGCTCCTCCTCCCTGGCCAGTTCGGACCGCCGCTTCAGGGGTCCGCGGGGGTGGGAGGGGCGTCCGGTGGCTCCTGGGCCCCCTGGCCTTCGGCGTCGCTGCAGCCGTCGTCATCCGGGGGCCCGTCGTCGCCGCCGCCGCCGTCCTCGCCGCCGTCGCCGCCGCCGTGCCCGTCGTCGCCGCCGCCGACGTCGGCGGAGTGGCCTCGCCGCCTTGTGGCTCCTGGCCCCCTCCACCCCCACCGAGGACGGCAGGATGAGGATAGCCTCCAGTGAGGAGAAATAGTTCGAGGCTCGATCTGGGGGCGCCTCCCTGGCTGGGCTCACGCGCTCCACTCCTGCGTCGATGCTGCGTCGACCTCCCGCCGACATGAGTCGAACTTGAGTAGCATGGGAGTGGAGCCGAAGAACTCGGGTGGAACAGATGCGCTAGATGAGCCCCTGGGACGCCCCAAAAACGAGCAGCTCAAGATAGGGAGTCTCTGAGTGCCAGGGTCTGAGCGCCGCGGCCGTCCAGGAGCGCGCCGCAGCGCTCTGGCACAAGTCGCCTTCGTCCTGGGCCTGCCCGTCGGGGGTGGAGAACTCGAGCCGCCCGGCTGTTTCTCCGTCTGGGCCCCCTCGGGGCCCGCGGCGGGCCTCGGAGGTGTAACCAACACGTGAAGCCCGCCGCTTTTTTTTTTTGTCCCCCAACCGCAAGCGCCCACCAACTACCACAGCTCCGGTTTCGTATTGAGTCCGCATCCCCTCAAGGGGGCGTTGACGGCACCCATCGCAAAGCTCAGAAGCGCGACGACACGCAACGAAAATGTCACGAAATTCGGCCCGCAAATGGAAGCGAGCGCAGGGACACGTGAAGCCCGCCGCTGGGACGTCGGGGGCCCCCCGTCGAAGACAAGAGCGACCTCCGTCGGGGTGCGCTGACCAGCAGAGCGGCGGCGACGCCGGCGGCGGGAGATCTGAGTCAACGCCGAAGCGCTTCGGGGGACATGGCGCCGATGGTGATGGCGATGTTTTGGAGGCGGCCTTCCTGGTCGCACCAGCTCCTAACAAGCTTGGGCGCAAGTCCAGAGGTGCGATCTTGATAAATGGGCGGGGGGCACAGGTAGTTGCGCTCCTCGTCCTCCTCCCACCCGCTAGCCACGAGGTGCAGAGTCGTCTTCACGAGCCCCTGCTGCCTCAGCGCTTCCTGTGCGCAAGCACATCTGGAGATGAGCAGGAGCAGGAAAATGAGGAGCTACACAAGGATAGAGAGGATTTGGAACCGGCTTCAGGGGGTTGATGAAATACGGCCTACAGACGCTTGACAGGAAGAGGAGAAAATAGAGGCTGAGGAGAAGGAACATGAGGAGGAGGATGAAGAGGATGAGGAGGAAGAAAAAGAGAAGAGGAGGAGGAGTCAGAGAAGGAGGATTGAGCAGGATGTCTGAATCGATGTAGCTATATTGATGTATGTATACACATATGTATTACGCACCTATCCGAGAAACCAGGGTTCAGAGGCGACTCGTTGAAGCCGTGGCATTTTTTTTCTGGGCGGTTCGCTCGGGACGTCTTCACAATTAAGAACATAGGGCGCGACCCTCACGCAGACCACGACGTCGCGGTCCAAACACAATCGATTGTTTAGAGCAATTTGACATCGGCCCTTCCAACACAACGCATTTCAATGATTCTGGACATCGCTCTTAGAAGAACGGCCGTTATGTGTTAGACATCCCCCACACATTGTAACCCGATCTATTCAAAGTTGTCCTCATATTCTTCAGAACGACACTTTCGCTTGAGACATCATTTTGCTTCGAGGCTTCTTCTCAACTGCAATCGCAAGATGTGGGCCCCCTCTTTCGCCCCACACACACATTGCAAGGTGTGGCATACCCACCTGCGTTCGATTTCGATCCCGCTATGGAACCTCCTTCCCAACAGCCCCCTGGTGACCCTCATCGGCCTGTTTCTTTGATGCACCCTCTGCAAATCCATTTTCCTCCTCTTGATCGGATCCAACTTCACATTCCTCTTCTTGACAATCTTCTGCGATGCGTACGTGCTGCAGTTGGCAGGAGGAGGAGGAGGAGGAGGAGGAGGAGGAGGAAGCCACGGGCTGAGGAGGGGCGGGGCCGTCGTCCCGTCGGTCGCCCCCGCAGCTCGTGGCCGCGCGCAGCGCGCCATTGGCGCCGCAGCCGCGGCGGCGCGGAGCCGCCACGCCCCGAGAGGGCGAACCCGCCTGGCATAGGCGCCAGAGGGAGAAGAGGGCCAACGCCAGGACCCTCATCCGCGTCCTCGACGCGGCGCAGATCCTCGGCAGCCACCACAGTGCCCAGCAGCAGCAGCACCAGCAGCAGCAGCAGCACCAGTGGTATCAGGAAGGAGTTATGGCGCCGTGGAATCAACACAGTGGGCAGTATCAGAGGTACTACACGCAGAAGGATCAGCAGACGTGGAGAGATAAGGCCCCATGGACAAGAAGGGGGAGCAGAAGTCAGTCAAGACCGCGCGATCAACAGCATCGTGAACGGGATGGACGACTACGGAAGATATACGATGACATATCTATTGCCAAAGCGGATGAAGCAAACGAACACTCGACCTTTGTGGCGCCACCGGAGGGAAACCAACAGATACAGCAGTACAAGAAGGAGGCCAATCAGAAGATCAATAAATTACTGAAGATGATTTTGGCGGCAAGAGAAGCGGATCAAGGTTGTGTATCCCAGGTGGCAGAAGTCCAAGTACTGAAATACATGTTGATGATAGTGAAACCGAGTTTCAAACAACGGAGAATATTAGAGAATGATATTGAGAAGCTCGAGGCTCAGATTAGGAAGATCCAAAGTGAGAAGAAAAAGTTGGCGGATCAAGAAATGGAATTGAGACAAAAGAGGGAGCACACATGTGAATTACTGAATGAGTTGAAGAGGAAGCTCGAAGAAGAGGACGAGGAACATCTGATGGACGACGAGGACGACATGCGGAATCGGAAGATGGATGAATATGAGATAGGAACTCGTCGGATGAACGTGGCATCGGGCTCGGGCTGCATGACAGGATCACAAAGGATGGAACATGGAAATCATGGGGAAGGGCCAAGTGTTGAAGTATTGGCGATGATCAATCAAATGAAAACATTGACGGACATGGTTACTGCGCAGGCGAATAGACAGGAAGAGCTACATCAGGCATTACTACGATCTGCGCAGGCCGAGAACAAGTCGAACTATCTGCAGACACAACTGATGGCGGAATGTGCGAGATTGAAGGAGCAACAGGAGGTTCAGTATCATCAACTGCAGGTACAGCAACAGCGGGCATTGGCGGAGCAGACGATGAATATGCAGAATATACAGAACCAACACCTTCAGCAGCAGCAGTTAGAAGAACAAAGGGCTGAATGGATAAGGCAACAGACAGCGGAGGCCTTCAAAAATATTACTCCAGAGCAACATCAGCAGCAACTCCAACAATGGTATAAGGAGCAAGAGGAGCAGGCCATGAAGGAGGACGCAGAGGATCTTGCTCGCTTTGCCCAAGAGATTCAGCAGAACGAGATGATGCAGCAGCAGATTGGTATCATGGAAGCAATACAGAGATCAAACACTCAGGTGGGAATGGCGACAATGGTTGGGGGCACAGCTACACCGAGGAGCGGAGGGGTCGAACATTCTGCCCCACAATCGTCTCCGCCACCATATCCAGAAGAAAGTGAAGTGGATCAGGCAATACGAATGGCAGATGATGAGCTGGATAATGCACGAATGATACATGGACAAGACCCGAATAGGATAACACAGAGGATCACAGCCAAGGATGAGATGGAGGTGAAGATGCAAGAGGAAGAGATAAAGGCGGTGGTGGAATCGCACGAAGCGGTAGAAGTGGAATCATCGATTGCCCCCACATCTCCTGTGCCTACCGAGGTACCGACGGAGCAGGCGACGCCCAAATATCCAGAGGAGGACCTATACATGTCGGCCAAAGGATGGTCCCCCGAGGTGATGCAGTATAAAGGATATCATCCACATTATGGTAAGGGCAGCTTCAAAGAATCTGGGGGCAAAGCTATGCAGCCGTTCGGTCGCCGCCAGAAAGGATATGGAGAGCAGGTGGACTACCCGACGCCGACATCAATAGCGACAAGTATCACGCCAACGGAGCCAATGACACCGGTGGGGAAGCCTCAGTATTTTCATTTTGGTACTCCTGGAAGCTCTGAACAGAGCAATGAATCCAGTGACGGAGCTAGTCGGCGACCCCCTCCAGCTAAAGTCAGGATGGGGGAAATACCAGGAGGAGATGGATTTGACCATCCAGGAGATCGTGTACGCATACCTTCGCAGACAAGGCAATCTGTGGAGGGTAAGAATATCGCAAAAAAGTGAGATGGAAGACTTCACCTGGGAAAGGTGGCTGCCCAGGTGAAGTGCATGACAGGGCCACAGATTTTGGAATTATAGATACTCGACGGGAACCAATTTCGGATTGCGGGAGATCCAGGATGGCATCGCCGGGTGCGAACAGGTGCGGCAGCGGGCCATCCGTGCATACTTCGCATTTTTCAGGTGACATACCAAATGATGGAAGTGGTATCGAATACAGAGCAGATGCTACACATCATGGAAACACTTTATTTTGTGATGTTGGTGGACGGGGCCGCTGTCGGGTAACCACGGCGGAGTGTGAAGGGCATCCTCGATTGGAAGAAGGTCCTTGTTCCCCGTCTACGACATCGACGGCACATGGTACAGCTTCTCCCAATACTGGTTTGGAGCGCACAATGAGGCCGACAACACTACGCAATGATTCTAGATGCCTTGCACTGGATGAGCTACTAGAGCCACCACGCTGCTGCAAGGTAAACATACCAGACACCTTCACGGACATGATGCGTCGGATGGACCACCCCATGCAGCTTGCCCAGGACTTCAGCAACATTGAGCTGTCGGAGCTGGCCAGGCTACCCTTGTTGGTGGAACCCAGGCGGACCGACGGATTGGCTAGGCCAATGCGCGGGTACATATGGACGGACGGATCTCACAAGGAAGCGGACCCCCATCTTGACGGATGGGCTGTGGTGGTCAGCAACCAAGTGGAGAGCGAATACGTATTCCAAGGATATTTGACGGCACGGACGATTGAGAGCTCACGGATTATCGGAGAGGGCAGTCACATGGATAGTACCACATCGGAGATTATGGCATTGCTATGGGCGCTAATATATATTATTATGTATGGTGATGATGAAATGGAATGGACTATCACATCGGACTCTAAGATTGCGCTCGGCATCGTTAGTGGGAAACATGGGTACCAGCCGAACTGGAAGTTGGCGGTCTTCCTGGATGCCTTGTCACGGGAGGTACTATATAGAGGCAAAGTACTTTTCAAGTACACAAAGTCACATGACCTGGACCCATGGAATCATCTGGCGGATAATATAGCACGGTCCAATTTGATAGTACGACACGAGGTCCCGCACATGCAGGTGGCGGAGAGCATCGTGTACGGTCTAGGTCTATGCTGGCAGTGGTTGAGGTACGACAGAAGATATTCACACTGCTACCCACAGATACGCGATGATGGTTTGTATTTTCATGAACCAGATGGATGCATACAGAATATGGCAGTATCGGATACAAATGATATGAGGAGCAAACTATACCCGAATGGCAAGAATGGAAAAGAGCAGATCGGAAAAACCAAAGGAGGAGTATCAGTCAACTTTGAGATGGCCACGTACAATGCAATGTCGTTCACGGAGGCCAAGTCAAAGAAGTTGAGCAAGGCGCAGCGCGAGGAGAAAAAGAGGAGAATACAAAAATTGAGGCTCCAATTCCATGACGAGAATATGTTGACGGTTGGTATCCAGGAGGCTCGAGGGCGGGAAGGTCAGCAATGGGCGGATGGATATGTGACGCTGCGAGCAGGTGCGGACGCTGGTGGACATGGATGTGCATTGTTAGTTTCTACTACGATACCATATGCGACAGGAGAAAAGCAGGAATATTATTTACAACAGCAGCATTTGCGAGTGATACATAAGACACCGACATGCCTGGTAGTGCAGATCAAGGCACCTCATCTTCAGATAAGGGTGGCCGTGATGCATGCCCCACCGAGAGGGCGTCCTGTAGAGGAAAGGAGACAGTGGTGGAAAGAGCAAGCAGAAGCATTTCAAGAACATCCAACGGACATTTTCCTGATGGACGCGAATGCACGGATAGATGCGAGTGTCATGGAAATGCCGTTAATTGGGGATAGCTTACCGACCAGCAAGATCGATGATAATGGGAAGATGCTGGCTGAGTTTGTGAACATGCATAATATACATTTGTATAATACCCTGGTTGGTGATGCTGAATGTTGGACGTATACTGATGGGACGGTCATGCACAGGACTGACTACATTGGCATAGTCGGATCATGGTACCAAGCTGCGGCAGGTTTGCGGGTTATTGCAAATTTGGACAACGGGCTGGGAAAGGAGGATCATAGACCAGTTGTTGTAAGAATGACGTGCCAACATATCGCGGCACCGAGGGTGGAGAGCGGCCAGGTGTACGTATCATACGAAAAGATGAAGCAGGAGGATTGTCGTGAGCAATCCAGGGTACTATTAGACAAAGCCGAACCTGGGCCATGGCAGCAGGATGTTAATTCTCAATATGCAGATGTAATGAGGCAAGTCAAGGATGCAGCACGGAGATGCTTTGCGAGGGATATATTCACACCAGCACAGTCATACATTACGAGGGACACGATGCGACTCATCAGGTTGCGAAGGTATGTATTACAAGGTCTGAGGAAATTTCGGCGAGGAGAAGGTGAACCATTTCAGAATATATGTAAGTTCTTGCCAGAGCAATACCGACTGTTTTCGCAGGAGGGTGATCCATGGCATGAGGAGGTGGAAAAATTAGTGTTGGGCGTGCAGTTCCTGAACAAAGGGATCTGGTCGAACATGGAGCTCAAATCCCAGATGGAGGCGTTCATGCGGATCACCTCCAATATACTAGATTGGCGATTGGAAAAGGAGAAAGATGACAAAATGAGTGGATATGCGGAGCAGATTGGGGCAAATACACTGCTGGGCGACCATCGACAGGCATGGCAAGCAGCAAAAAAGATATTGAGGTGTGGAGGGAGAGAGCATCCGAGGTTTTCAAATGGAAAGTTTCTACCATACAGAAAGGATGATGATGGGAAAGTTATTACATCAGAGGAAGGAATGGGAGAAAATAGGATGCGAGTATATAGCAAGCTGGAGGATGCGAAAGTGGTTTCGGCACAAGAATATGTAGACGCGTATGGGAAGTTTCCGAGTACTGCACTTGGGGATGTTCAGTTGAATATTGAGATGCTTCCTCATCTGGCGGATACAGAGTATCGACTATCGAGGGGACCAAGAAGGCGAGCTGCGGGTACCGATGGTTTGTTGGAAGAGGTATTGCATGCAGCGCCCAAACAGATCGCCAAGTTGGTCAACCCACTGTTGGTGAAAGTATGTGCGACGGGGAAGGAGCCCATCGCATTCAAGCACAGCAGATTGGGGGAGGTATCCAAGAGTGCAGGGGATCCATCGACGAACAAAGCATTCAGGGCAGTAGCGATCTGCAACGTGTTCGGCAAACATCACTATCGGTTTTTAAGGAGGCAGCTTGCATACACGTTGGACTTCATGTTGAGGGACTCGCAAATTGGTGGCAGACCGAGGAGGTCACCAGTGATGGCATCACAGCAGGCTCGTATGATCACACAGTTGGCGGCAAAAAATCAGGTGTCAGCGGCATTTATATTTTTAGATCTCAAGGCGGCGCTCCATCGCATTATACGTCAGATGGCGAGCCGTATGCAGTACTTGGAGGATGAACCAGAAGCGATCTTGAATGAATGTGATATACCAATATGTTTGGTACCGCTGGCCAGCCACATCTTGTCACAACCAGCCTTGCTGGACGACCAACGTGTGGACCCCCACCTTGCTACGCTGGTCGCTGAATCACAACGCTTGGTGTGCTTTGAAGTGGGGGGTTCTACGAAGATGGGTATGTCAACAAGGGGGACGAGGCCTGGGTGTGCTACGGCAGACTACCTCTTCAACATTGTCTTCACCAAGCCGTTGGGTCTAGTGCATAGGAGCTTGCAGGCAGCGAATCTGGTACTGGACCTGGGGAGGTATCAACCTGAGTGTGATATGGTGAGCAAGTCGGGTGACGATATGAATCCATTGGTGGACATTACCTTCGTTGACGATGTGCTGATCCCCATAGTGCAGGAGAATGACTGTATAATACAGAGCGTGAAGGATGCCATGGATATCATGCATGCATCGTTTGTTGCACATTTTATGGAGCCGAACTACGGTAGAGGGAAGACGGGGGCGTTGTTCCAGCTCCGAGGACCAAATCGGGAATCGTTGCGTGAAGCACTGTATGGAGGAGAAGTATCTTTGACGAGTGACAAGTATGGCTTCACGTTCCATATCGAAAGGCACTACAAACATATGGGGGTGGTGGTATCCTTTGATTGCTCGTGGCGACCAGAGATTACCCGGCGTATTCAAAGTTGCGAACAGGCGATGGAACCAATCAGGCGGGGTATCATACCACGGAAAAACATAAAGGATGAGTTCAAGGTCAGGTATGTCGAGGCGCTGGCCTTTTCGCGCCTATTTCAACAGGTGGAAATATGGCATGAGCTGGGGGAAGGTAATGAGTCAAGGTTGAGAGCTGCGTATATGAGGGGATTGAGGATGGCAACGGGGCTTACACATAATGCAGGTACTGTTGATCACTATCTCGATGAGTATGTACTTTGGAACGCAAAGCGGGCGGATTACAATACGATTAAGCGTATGAGGAGGTTGCGATATCTTGAAAGGGTGGTGAATCATGCACCGGCTACACTACGAAGGTTGGTGGATATTCTTGGGACTGAAGGTACGTGGCTTAGTATGTTGGAAAATGACTTTGCATGGCTGCAAGAATGGAGAAATGCAGGTGACACGCCTATGGAGATGCGACAGTGGATCGAGTTCATGAGGCAGGCACCAAAGAAATATTTGGCAATATGTACAATGGCATGGAAACGGTTTATGCAATGGCATGTCGATCATTGTCAGCATGGGGTATGACAGCAAAAAATTAGAGGTATCGTCCCACGGGAGAATGAGATGGGTCAGAGGTTGGTTTTTATTTGTTATGAGTGTAGGGCCACGTTTGAGACTGGGTGTGCGTGGCAGTGTCATCGCACTAAAGTGCATGGCAGAAATGATGACATACCTCGATATGCATACGATGGGTATTGTGCTGCCTGTGATGTGAATTTTCACACGAGGAAAAGGTTGATATATCACTTGAAATATCGTCATACCAAATGCATTGACAGATTGAGGGGTATTGTGGAACCGATGGCTGATGAAGTGTTGGCAGAAATGGACGAGAAAGATATAAAAGAAACGGCGATGCTCAAAAGTATGGGATATTCTGAATCAAAAGCATTGAGACCACCTACTAAGGGACCGAGGTATTGCAGGAATTCGAGTTCGAAGGAGGAAATGAGAGTGTCAATACCGCGAGTTTTGATCGATGAGGCCCCAACCACTGGCAATGAGGGAAGTCCGACATACCAGTGTGTGGACAGGCAGTCGCAGATACTTTTGATATATGACTCCGAAAGCGAATCTACGGAGTGGTTGGATAGTTTCAAGGATGGCGTACTATTCCAGGTCAAGCTGATGGATATAAGGACAACAGAAATGGACGCGATTGCTACTGATGGTATGGGTCATACAGTGGTGAAGGATCTATGCAGGCGGAAGATATTTGGTGTTGTTGGAAAGGCATATGGGTATTGTGGTATGCGACTGTGGGGTGGTACAGAAATCCGTGGTAAATCGTTGGCGAAGCAGATAAGGGCAAATACTGTATTTCGAGCCCTAATGATATTGTACCATGCATGTGGGAAGGCCCGAGTTCCAATGTGTGTTACTACGGACATGGCCAGGATTCCCACTGGTATAAGTGACGAGTATGTGGAGAAGGACATCATGGTCGGAGATGGAGGCCCAAACTTTGAGTTCGAATATTGGCATGATGTATGGTGGATGGTGAATGGGGAATACGTATGAGGGCTACTTCATGGTGAGGGTGCGCGGGTCGTGGCCCAGGGGGGGTGGATTCAGCCCACAAAGTAACAACCCCCTGGGCTAGACGGCTGAGTCGGGGCGCCCGACGCTGGACGGCAAGGGCGACGCCTGGGTGACGCTGGTGCAGGCCGCGGAGGCCATCTGGGGCCTCTGAGGAGGCCGGCGTGGTGAGCCCCCCAGGGTGGGTCCCCACCTGGGGGGCTCGACGTCGTCGTGATGGGGTCGAAGGCGCCCTTCGTTTCTTTTGGGGGAGTGAGAGGAGGAGGATAGGTGAGGATCAGGTGGCCATTTCGACCCCGTCGCGGATGCATGATTAGGCCCGCAGCGCGGGCCGCGGACGCTACGAGGATCGCCTCTTTCGGTGCGAGCGCAGCAGCAGGAGGAGGAGGAGGAGGAGGAGGAGGAGGAGGAGGAGGAGGAGGAGAGGGAGGAACAGGTTGCCCTGCCCATCCTTCCCATTCCTCCCCCTTATTCTTCTGACCCTACTCATCAGCATCATCATCCTCCACTCTGCCCCTTCTGTACTTGCCGCCCAGCCGCCGCCTTCTTCTCCGCCTTGCTACTGGTTCGGTGGATTACCCCTTCTGTCTGCTGCTCCTTCTAAGACCCTTCGTTCTTTCTCTTCTTTCTTTCTCATCCACCTCCTTTTCTCCCGTCTCCGACCTCTTCTCCTCCCCCTCCTTTTTTCGCCGTGTTCCCCCCTTCCCCCTTCCCCCCTCCTCCTGTCCCTGGTGGCGCCTGGAGGTCCCCCGGAGGCCACCCGAAACCCAACAAACCTGACCTGACAAGAACGGGAAGCAAATGTTCGAACGTTCGTTGCAGGTGTGGCATCACATGGGGACGTCAAAACTGGAACGCTTGTGCGAACAGGAGGGGACTGCGCGGTGCCCGAGTGTCAATGATCCCTCGAAAATATACGACGCTCGCGCTCCCGAGGCGCAGATCCCTCGTAAAGTACACGCGATACGCGCCGCCGAGGCCACGACCCATTGCAAAGTACTCTGGGTTCATGCCTCGGCGACCAGGACCCACAGAAAAGCAGCCAGACTCACGCCCTGGGACCGCTATTACTTGTATTGTGCGCAAGCGGTCAGTTACCACGCGGCCCCCGCGTCCACCTTCAAGATCCCGAGCTATCCGCCGTCCCCTTGGGGTTCGGTCCGGCTGGCTTGCAGGGGGGGGGGATCTGGTCAAACGGACTAGATCCCTCACCCCTCACAGGAATTCCCAGGATGCCTACGGCCGTCTCCGGCCACTCCAAGATGCTCCAAGACGGCCCATTATATTTTGAATACGACCGGCGATAACCCCAAGACGGTCCAAGAAGCCCATGAAGCCCTCTTGGATCCCTCTGGCGCCGTTGTCGGGCCCTCTTGAGCTGTCTTGGGGCTGTGTAATCCGAATTCGGGATAAGGAGATGGAATATCTAGTGACCCTCGGTCCATCCCGCCACCGTGCCGGGGCATTGAGAATGAGACGAAGTGAAAGTTCGTTGGGCTCTCTTGGGAGGCTTCTCGCAGGCCGTTTCGGGTCCTCTTGGGGCCTCTTTTGGGCCTCTTGGGGGCATTTTGGGGCGTCTTGGGGGCCTCTCGGGGGCCTCTTGGGACCTCTTGGGCGCCTCCTGGGGCCTCCTAGGGCCGTCCTTGGGCGGGGTGCTCCGATTTTCGATTCGGGCTCACCCTCTTGGGCCCCTGTTGGGGCCCTCGTGGGCCTTCTTGGGAGCCTCTTGGGCCGTCTTGGCGCCCTCTTCGGCCGTCTTGGGCGCCTCTTGAGGGTCTCTTGGGCCGTCGCGGGTCGGTCTTGGGGGACTCTTGGACCATCTTCGACGTCGTGAAGACGAGAAAGTCGTATATACTAAAAATATGGGTTTTCCGATAGGGATTTGACGATTTTGGCATCTTGGGCCCTCTTGGGGGTGCTCTTGGAGGCCTCTGGGGCCGTCATGCGAGCCCCCTGGAGCCGTCCTGTGGCCTTCTGGGGACCCTCTTGGGCGCTCCAAAAGCGATCTGAACACAAAGGCGGCCTGGAGCCAACGCCAACTTCATTTTTTAGAGGATGCCCCGAGCGAAACGGCCAATTTAGAAACCTGACCGGACAAGAACGGGAAGCGCCGTTTTTTATCCACCACGTGCGTCAGAGACCGTATTGGCGAGAACGTCAGAGAAACCCATAAACGCAACAGAACAGACTAAATGGTGGCCTGCCGCGCTGGTCTGTCGAGGTAGTCTGCTGCCCTGGCCACATCATGGTGTCGACACCGTGCTTTTCTCTCGGCCACGCGGGCCCCCACCCGTTGTCGCCCAGCCTACTTTTTCTGTTCCAGCCTGTCTTGTCTTTTGTTTGTCCGTCGTCGTCGTCGCGTGCCTTTCCTTTGTCGTGGTCGTCGTTTTCATTATAATCGTCCGCTGTTGCCGTTCTCGCTGTCGCCGTCGTTATCATTTTATGATTGCGGTCGTTTTTCTGATTGTTTTTTTGTTGTTGGATTCCGTGTTCGGTTGGTTTTTGTGTTATGTTTGTGGTCGTTTTCTGTCATCGTTTTTTGTCGTAATTTTCGAGATCGTTATTGACGAAGACGACGACGACGACGATGACGACGACGACGATCTGCCGTGCTTCTGTGGCGTCTGCGGTGCTCCTGTGGTCTGCCGTGCTCCTTCTTGGTTTGCCGTGCTCCTGTGTGGTCTGCCGTGCTCCTGTGCGGTCTTCCGTGCTCCTGTGGTCTGCCGTGCTCCTTTGGGGTCTGCCGTGCTCCTGTGGAGTTTGCCGTGCGAACGTGTGGTCTGCCGTGCTCCTGTGTGGTCTGGCGTGCTCCTGTATGGTCTGCCGTGCTCTTGTGTGGTTTGCCGTGCTCCTGTGTGGTCTGCCGTGCTCCCGTGGGGTCTGCCGTGTCCTGTGTGGTCTGCCGTGCTCCTCCTGTGTGGTCTGCCGTGCTCCTTCTTGGTCTGCCGTGCTCATGTGCGGTCTGCCGTGCTCCTGTGCGGTCTGCCGTGCGAACGTGTGGACTGCCGTGCTCATTTGGGGTCTGCCTTGCTCCTTTGTGGTTTGCCGCGCTCCTGTGTGGTCTGCCGTGCTCCTGTGTGGTCAGCAGACCCAGGGCTGAGGGAAGGCTGGAGCAGTGCTCTGGTGGCCCTTCACCCGCCCAGCTCCGTCCCCTCCCACTCTGGACCGATCTTGCGGGAAGCTGGCTTGTGGCAGCGCATCGCGCGTCGGCCGCCAGCCCAGGTGCCGGCCCGGGCGTTCGGTTCGAGCGCCGGCCTGGGTGCCGGAATCGGCCCGGAAGGGGTTCCAGGGCGCCGGGAGCAGAAAATCAATATTTTCGAAAGAAAAATATGTCTTGGAGTGGCCTTTTTTCCGCACCGCCTCGGAATTCAATTTTCCGGCGCCGGCCGGCGCCGGAACCGGCCCGGGCGCTGGCCCGGGTGCTGGCCCAGGCGTTCGGCTCGAGCGCCGGCCCGGGTGCCGGAAGCGGCCCGGAAGGGGTTCCCGGGCGCCGGGAGCAGAAAATCAATATTTTCGAAAGAAAAATATGTCTTGGAGTGGCCTTTTTTCGGCACCGCCTCGGAATTCAATTTTCCGGCGCCGGCCGGCGCCGGAACCGGCCCGGGCGCTGGCCCGGGTGCTGGCCCGGGCGTTTGGCTCGAGCGCCGGCCCGGGTGCCAGAAGCGGCCCGGAAGGGGTTCCCGGGCGCCGGGAGCAGAAAATCAATATTTTCGAAAGAAAAATATGTCTTGGAGTGGCCTTTTTTCGGCACCGCCTCGGAATTCAATTTTCCGGCGCCGGCCGGCGCCGGAACCGGCCCGGGCGCTGGCCCGGGTGCCGGCCCGGGCGTTTGGCTCGAGCGCCGGCCCGGGTGCCGGAATCGGCCCGGAAGGGGTTCCAGGGCGCCGGGAGGCGAAAATCAATATTTTCGAAAGAAAAATATGTCTTGGAGTGGCCTTTTTTCGGCACCGCCTCGGAATTCAATTTTCCGGCGCCGGCCGTGCTCCTGCGCGGTCTGCCGTGCTCCTGTGGCGTCTGCCGTGCTCCTGTGTGGTCTGCCGTGCTCCTGTGGTCTGCCGTGCTCATTTGGGGTTTCCCGCGAGCTTGTGGGGTCTGCCGTGCTCCTGCGGGGGAAACGCCAGCGGCGTTCGGGGTACAACAAAAGGCGCGTTTATGTTGTACCTGCGCGCGGTCTGCCGTGCTCCTCTTGGGATTGCCGTGCTCCTGTGTGGTCTGCCGTGCTCCTGTGTGGTTTGCCGTGCTCCTGTGGTCTGCCGTGCTCCTTTGTGGTTTGCCGTGCTCCTGTGGGGTCTGCCGTGCTCCTGTGGGGTCTGCCGTGCTCCTGTGAGGGCTGCGGTGCTCTTGTGTGGTCTGCAGTGCTTCTGTGGTCTGCCGTGCTCATTTGGGATCTGCCGTGCTCGTGTGGTGTCTGCCGTGCTCCTGCGGGATCTGCTGTGCTCCTTGTGTCGTCTCTTTGGTCTGCCGTGCTCCTTTGTGGTCTGCCGTGCTCTTGTGGGGTCTGCCGTGCTCCTGTGTGGTCTGCCGTGCTCCTTTTTTTCCGCCCGCCGTGCTCCTGCTCATTTTCTGAGGACGTCCCGGGCGAAAACGTCATTTTTAACATAAGAGGTTGTAAAACACCTCTGTCGGCATCTCATTTTTTCGAGGATGTCTCGAGCGAAACGCTCATTTTTCATGCATAACAAAAATTTTTGATATTTTCAACATCCCGATTTTTTGAGGATGTCTCGAGCGAAACCGTCATTTTTGACATAAGACGTCTTAAACGATAGCCTCCAACACCTCGATTTTTCGAGGATGT